TTCTCAGTAGGCAACTCCAGAGAGCAGCGCTGTCGACTGAATCAAAGGTGGTTCCTATGTCTAAGAAGATCACGATCGTTGGCTGGCCAAATTAAAAAAATAAAAAAAATAAATTTGTATATTTACCGACGGACGGTACACGGCCCCATAAGTGGGAGCGATGCTCGAGCATTTGGCGGAATGTAAAGATGTGATCGATGTAACTCCGACCTGAACGGAACTTAGCTTGCTGTTCACGTATGCTGTGTTCGCGTACCAGGCTGAGCCTCCTTAGAAGCAGAGCTGCGAGATCCTTGGAAGCAACACAGATGAGACTAATCCCACAGTGGTTGGCGCAGTCAGTTTGGGTACCCTTTCCGAAGACAGACACGATATCCGTTAGGCTCCAATCAGATGGGAGAACTTCAGTGACCCAGATCTCATGGAGGCGAGAAATTAACTCCTGATGGGTCGCCATCTTTGAAAAGAACTGCCTCGAGCCAAGCACAAAGCGAAGCACGTAAATTCCACTGTGGGAGGCGAAACGGACCAACGTCACCGAGTTTGCTCGTCAGTGACTTCATTTCCTGCTGCTAAGTTAACTTTTGTCCACCTTAGGCCTTGTGTCACCCTACATCTAGCAAACAAAACAAGGCTCTCATCGGTAAGCGGTGACCGGTTATACGTAGTACGCGCCCAAGCCAACGCAGTTTCTTCAGCGCTATCTGTTGTTCTACGAAACTAGTATGTTTTTTACTGCCTATCATTCGCCTACGCACATCATCGCTGCGAACAGGCTGCTGCCATCCAACACCAGCAACGGTTCGCAGATAACGATGATCAAAGGCATGAAGGCGCTTCAGATCATCAGACCGAAGACACCAAGACTTAGTCCCATAAAGCAGGACGGTCCTCATGTGGCCTTGCACACAGAGCCTCTAAGACCGAGATCCCTTTCTGATGCCACAGATGAGCAAATTCAAGGAGGTAGTTCTATTTCTTGTAATATGTGAACTGACTTAAGTGGTTATGCGCCATGTCAACAAGTGTATCCAGCCAAACATTTTCAACACCCTGCGGGTCACGAAAATGGAGCCAAATGGCTCCAACCGAGACCAAATGTGAACTAAACGCCTTTATTCCTCTTGACTAAGTCATCACTTGGCTTTTCCTCCTCTTCTTCCGTTCACACCCCCGGCACGCGAACAACGTACATCGGGGGATTCGGTGTGTTGGCGTGAGCCTGTTGCGTAAAATAACGGTGCTAAGCGGTTCACTTCCTTTTCTTGTGCTATAGACAAGGCGCCGAATATGCCCATTGCTTACACAGTGTTCACACTAGGCATGAGCCAAAATGCGAAGGCACCGGTGGTCGAAAGTAACTAGCCTCCTTACGTCTGCCGGTATAATGGGCCAATTTTCTCGACTACATGTATGGCTCCATCGTATATTCAACCCTTAAGGGAGTGTTATGTAGCGCCGACACCACAGGTGACGAAGGTTATCAAAAGTGCCTCGAGATTTTGCTATACGGTCCGTGATCTCGTCTACGATTCCAAAGACGCTGATACAGCTGCCTAGGTAGTTCGATTTCCGAACGACCTCTAGCTGATTCCCACCAAGAGTCAGCGCAGGAGGCGATACTTGCAAAACTTGGAGGAAAGCTTCGCAAATTGAGGGAGCGAAGCAAAGCTCGAAACGGCTGATAGCCAGTGCTAATCTACCCAGCGCAGCTTGACACGTTTGTGAGCTGTCACAAATGAGCGCAATATTGTCAGCATACTCCAAGTTAAACAAAATCGTTCATCTAGGAACAGGTCCACACCTAAGTCGTGTCCTGTGAAGGTGGTTTGCATGACTTCGTCAATAGCGAAGTTGAAGAGGAATGGTGATAACGGGTATCCACCGCTGGAGATATTGAGAGGCCGCAACAGCTTGCCGTAAGCCCTCACTCTGTCCGAGCAAGGAGCGTAGGGGGCTCGTATAGTATTGACATATTTCTTGGGTACACCTATCCTGAGTAGACAGTCCCAATGGGCACATTGATCCATTGAATAGAATGCACCTTTGATGCCGAGGAACGTGACGGTGCATCAACAACTGATTCAAAGTAAAAAAGTGATCGACGAAGCCCCGACCACGACGAAACACGCCTTGATCTTCATGAATCTGGCGCCAATCAATTTGTGGGTGATGAAAGAAGCAAGTAGCTTAGAGGCGATGGAGATTAGACTGATTCCTTTATAGCTGCCGCAGTCCGAACATTAAACTTCCTTGGAGATCAGGACAGTAACAAAGCGGCTCCAGTTGGTCGGGACATTTTCCTGCTGCCAGTTTCACTAGTAACTCACGTTAATAATCCACAAGAACAGGTTGGAGGAAGACCATATGGCCACGTGGTCTTATTCAATCTCAACAATCCGATCTCATGTTTGACTTTTGAACGAGAAGGCAGATCAAAAGGGATAGCCCACGGAGCAGAGCGATCACTGGTCGGTGAGAAATCTGATAATTCAAACCGGTTCTAGAAACAATCAGCCAAACGATCCAAGTGTGTTGATAAGCCGTGGACAGACTGCACTCTCGTTATAGTCTCCCTAACATCATGTCTCCTACTGCTCATTTCCTGTATCAGATGGACGAACTTACGATGGTTACCAAGGGCAGCGGCCACTTTCCACTCCGACACACGAGGAGACCACCAGGATTCGCGGTCTCTCTTCAGGCAAGCATGCAGTTTTGCTTTGAGGTCTTTGCGAGTCTGGTTGTTGTGATAGTTTCCACGCGCACGCTGAAATATGCCAATCTGAGGAAGGATCGAGGGCTCCAAATAGAAGCGGATGGGTTGTGCTTGTCCGCTTGGTAAAACATGGGATTGTCGACAGAGAAGGAATGATGCTCCGGGTTTGTGTGTGCGGAAACTAGCAAGTAAACGCCCATCTGAGCAAGATGAGAGCCAATAATTGCGGAGTCGAAAACGGGGGGATAGAAGTGAAGTTGGAACGGGAGGATGAGGGTGAAAAGTTTAAGGCTTGAGGAGTAGAATTCGAACCCCTATCCACCCTGCTCGATGCAGTAGATAAGGCGCCACTTATTATCCTCTGAGAAAGCAAGAGCATTAAGAAGTGATTTGAAGAGAAAATCAATGTATTGCGTGGGCAGGATACTACCAAGTTGATCGGACCTGGACAGGGAAACGATTAGGGTGTTTAACCAAAGTCTTTGGTACAAAAACCTGATTGCAAGGCAGTGCACTGCCGAGACGCATGATGAGAAATCGTTATCAAATAGCTTATCCTCAAGGAAGAGTACGTAGCTACATCTGACAATGGTTGGGCAAAAGTATCTTGAAGACAGGCATACTACTGCTTTGAGTACGGTCCCAGTGATCGTAGTGACTAAGGTTCACTTCAATGTGAATCACAGTCCATTACATTGAGATTGCGCGTCGCAATCCAATCACACAACGCGTAGTCCAAAGTTGACCCTCCAATTAGACATAATACTTCTTGGAAATTTGGTAAACAATTTGAATACTTTTCAAAAGACAGGTATTTAACAGTGGGCACCGGGTACTAAGTTGATGTACTATTACTGTGGTCGCGCCATAGAGGCCATCTACGAATTCGTGATATTCCCACCTGCCAAGGTTTACATTAGAGCAAGAGACGTTCTTCGGGAATCCACACATACCTCGAACAATAGACGATGGAAACGTCACATTCTCACATTGTGCCACCTCTATCAGCTGCAAGCCCCATTCCACATATGGGGAATGCATATACCATACACGCTAATGATAAGTTATGACCGTTTAACTGTACCTTTTATATCACCCCACCTAGTAACCGCATTGATTGCATTTGTTTCCTATGCATATATCTGTCCCCATCTATGGCTGGTGTTCACTTAATATGAGACGGTCACTTAGGTTCACATCTAAACTTTAAGAAACGACAAACATTTTTTCACTGGGTACCTATCCTTACGTGTGCGATTTCTCATTACTTGACGAATATGATTGTTAGTCTTAACTCCAATCCCAACTCATCCACGTTTGTATTAGTATAGTTGTTCGTGAGGTTTCATGTGTTTTCCATTCAATCTGTGGTAGTTGATATACAAGTGTGGGCAAATGCATGTGAATGTATGTGATTATACAGGATTCGCACTGCCATTGTGCAGCAGACAAGATCCAGACTGACGAAGCATATGATGTCCTTTGTCATCTAAGTCGGGCTAAACGCAAGTGACTGTCTGACGTGCGCTTGACATATGAAACCTTCAGTATGATTTGTAGTGCCGGGCTGCGCATCTTGTGAATGCTAACAAGGTGCCTACTTGCATAACACCATGCACCCAGATTATACTGGCTACAGGAGACAGTATGTCGTTGCTGGGGGCGAGGTGCACGGTCGTCGTGACTGTGCTAGGAGCAAAGAGTGGTTCAATGCATCCCGTGTGGAACGGGATACGGCCCAGCCATCGCCTTGGGTACGCATAACTTCCCAATTAGACAAATAGGCTACTGCTATGCAGGTTGAAGAAATGTGGGCCGGCTCCGTTGGTGAAACGTGGCTCCCATCCACATGTCACCCTTCGGGTTTACACTGGGTATGGAGTGTGTGGATGGAGATGTGGGTGATGCAGTGCAAGCCACTCATGGGCCCTCCGTAGGCGCAGGCATCCTGTGGCTGTCCTCATGAAGACCATAGTGGCAAGCAAATCCGGACACGGATGCAACCAGACCAATGTATGGATCAGTAGAAGTGCACGGCTTTTGACCGCCAACGGGAAAAGACTGACGTTTTCCCTTGGTTTAACGCTAGTTATATAAGGTGGAAAAATAAAAGGAAATATTAGGTGCGTTATAGTAGGTGTTCCAGCGAGGCTGCAGTGGAGAAAATCTGAAAGGAAAAAAGACAGTTCTGTTGGAGAAACCAGCAAAACTATGTGGTGAAGGGAACTGTGGTTGGAAACAGAGTAGACCAAAGAAGAGCGAATGGGCCAGCAAAACTCACCGCTATTGGGGGCTGACAAGTTTGCTGCACGCCCTCTGTATCCAACTGTTTCGTGGAACTTTTGGGCTTAGTTATCAATCGTTTGGGGAACGCGATGACAGGAAGAGCGGTCACAAAAGTGAGAGCGGAGCATACAAGAAAGCCAAGCCACCAAGCGCCCAACCACAGTGGATCGTTTCGATTAAAACCAGACCGGGGAAGTACGCCGGGTGTATCGATGTATAAGCTGAGGAAACCGGCTCCAGCGAGGAAACCACATGCGGGACCAAGACCTCCAGCGCTGTAGAACAGTGCTGGAAAAGACAACAAAATGACATTGGGATACGATGAGATGTGTTAGAGAATGGAAGAAACATCTTTGATGAGGCACCGGAGTACAACGCAGTTAGCAATCAAGTCACACTAGCCGCTGATATTACTCATCTTCCAGTGATTCAAAGTCTGCCTCGTAACATGTGGATATGCAGTTTGAAACCTAAAAGATTCGAAGGTTATTCACACTGCTGACAACGCTCAGTGGGGCTAACAGACCGCCCAGCGCAGTTATGGACGAGGTGATTGTGGAGTTTTCTTGAAGCGTAGAACGCATGAAAGCCGTGCAGACGTTATGAGAATTTTAACTCCCTAAGAATGGGAGGAGTTTCGAGAGGAATACAATGGCTGGTGTTAGTTGTTGCACGAAGTCTTTAAAAGGTGGACTGCACCTCATGGATCAGACCGACAACCGAATCGAAGCCCAAGTAAAAAAATTGTGCGTTTATCATAGCTCTCAAGGAAGCTTCTAATTTCATTACCGTATGAGAAATAAAAAAGGTAACAAATGAAGTGAAGCACTGGTTTGAGGTAAAGCCAGGAGTATACAAGGTCAGATTAAAGTGTGCGGATGTTCTCCGAGCTGGATGTATAAATCTCAAAAGTTCCGTTACCAGATTAAGCAACATCGTTAGTGCAATCTTTCAGAAAAGGTCCCATTAGACAAGTGAGGTAGATGAGTTTCAAGATGAAGTTGGCATAGGCGCGAGTGTGAAGAGATGCAGTGTTAACAGTTGAAAGGGTGGAAAAACACACGGTGGCTACCACAAAAACGGTTGGCGAGGATATAAAGGCATATTGCTTAGAGAAATCCCTTAATGAGAAGGAAGAACATAGTTGGATCCATAAGAGGGCGGTCATATGTAGAGAATTACTGACAGAAACGGAAGCGGTAGCAATGATTCCCTGACAGTGATGTAACTCAGTGTGAACGAGGAGGATGACAATATCAGCCGCGGTGGCGTCACAAACCGCTGACATTTTGGGACTGGTTGTTCAAATGAGGCGGCATAATTAGACAGCGCGAAGTTCAGTTTCCGGATGACAGCTGGAGAATAGTGGGTCCCAATCAGATTAGTTGGACGTCTAATGAATGAATTGAACAAGCAATGTACTTAGGAGTAACAGTGGGATTCAGAGAAGGGTCAAACAAGTGTGGGTGATGATTAACGTTTATGTAGGCATTCTGCAAGGCATAAGGCCATATTATTGATTCATTCTAGTACGGTCAACCATCATAGAATGGAACGGACCTGAGACCGTCCGCAGCCGCTGATAGCTTCGTATCAACGAGCAAGCTTGAAGAGTGAACAAGTGAACGAAAAGACTGAATAGTCATCTGAAGATATATATATGCATACGCTTCATATATAGCCCCAGTGGTCAAACCGAGAAAGTGAATCGTACTAAAAATTAACACAGGGCCGTAACTCATTCGCACGAGTACTTCCAACACAATCGTCGTAAGTGGCCCTTGGTGAATGCGTGTCAGTTGCCAGCCACTACTATTTCCCGGATTCGATTCCCAGTTCGGCTCTCTCTCTACCTGGAGAGCGTAAAGTGGGGGATGAGTCCGGTTATGAAGTGTAGATTAGGGAGCGAGGAACAGCTAACGTTCAGTGGATTGTGAATAAACTTCCTGAAAAATTAACTAGATAAGTCATTTCATGTTGGATATCAAGACAGTGCCAATATTTATGGAATAGAAGGAAAGTAGCCATTCTTCTATAGGTGTTTACTCAAAAGTAACGGGGCATTCCGGTCGTATTACTTAAACTGTGGTGCACTATGCAGTGCAACCTGAATTATAATTGCGCCCCTCGCTCCAAATTCATGCCACGGATACCCAGTGAACTTAGTGGTGAGCTGATTAGTTAATCATAATGCGCCAGTCCCCGTGTTGAAAATTACGTCGTTATTTTGATAGACGAAGTTACTTTTCAAGTGTCATATAGTTAAATCAACGCAACTTGGAACTTACCTGAGTATATAGGGTATTGTTTACTGTCAAGGTTATCCCAGAGATAAGTTGGGGCCAAGACGTGTAGCGGACTAGCACCCACCCCAGCGAGCACCATCGCCACACAGAAGATCAAAAGAGCCACAGAATGAACTGGGTCGCGCTCGTCCAACAGCACATCTGGACCGGGTTCTCTATTCGCTGGAACATTTGTCGGTTCCGAGGAACACTGTGAACGCAATTCAGGAGATTTGAAAGTGTTGTTCTCGCAAAAGGCAGGTGCTGACAAATTATGCGAAGACGAACTTAGAGTATCAGGCATATAAGGTCCGACAATGAAATGTGGAACAGCAAACAGAGCAAAACCAAGAGAGAGGAGCAACGTCGCCAGGCCAACGATACGAAGACGATTGTGTTTGCGTCCATTCACAAAGCTGACAACCACAGTCGTAAGGACTCCCGAGCTTTCATAACAGCTGATCAGATAACCGACTTGGCGTGTGGTGAAATTGAATCTCCGTTCCAATGTCGTGAGCATACTACTGATGAGACCAGAGACAACCATGGTTTGTACGAACATGATAAAGAAGAGTCCGAAAAGGACTGTCGTCGGTGTGACGCAGGGTTGCAGACATGTGAAAAGGCAAAATCCCTCTTGCTCCGAATTGGACTTTATGTCCACATTAAGTTCACGAGCATAACCAGTGTCATTCACTCCATCCAATTCACTAAAACGGTTTTGCCAAGAGGGTAAATACGGTGACGTTTGACTTCTGAGATCGCCAGAAGTTGAGAAATCGTCTACTTTTTCAGGTGAGGCTGCAGACTGGGGCAGTGATGGATGAAGCAGTGGATAGACGGGATAATCAGATTGGTAATTCGAACCAGAATGTTTTGCATCCACTACTCGATACGTCCCCCAGCAAGCGGTGGGATCACTAATGTTACGACTGTGACCAAAAATGGATGCACGGCCAATCGCGGGTTTGTGAAAGGAATTAAGGTTGTTAGTATGTGTATAAACGTCTAATAATATGGGATACGGTGGATTGGGGCAATTCCATGGGGGGTCAGGGTATCGGCCTAAGCCGATCGTCGTCACAGCAGATAGGTTTCGCCGATGGAAGCGCCCGAAGTTTGCAGCTTCATTGGGAACATGTGCAGCGGCCACGGAAGTGCGACGAACCAAACCAGGGTGGCTGCAACTGGAGATGAAGTCCACCACATTTGCACCCCAATCCATAGGGAACACAGGATCAACATTCAAGTTGGCTACAGAAATGGCGGGGGACCGATGAGATGTGGTTCTTGATAGAAAAGGTGTGGGCATCCTGGACAGCAACCCGATCCGCCCAAGGAAGTGAAGCTTTCTACCGCATCAACTAAGCAGTGGCATTCTGAAATAATAAGATAAGTCTGAGAGTAAATAAGTTCACGAAAAGTAATGAATCATTGAAAGCTAAACCGCGTATGGTGCGTATTACGAAATCTGAATAAACAGTCTTAGCAGATGTGACTGGATAAAAGGCGATGTAGAGGATGTCAACCATAAACTGCTGTATAAAGTGATCACGACACTACAGGTGTGTCCTGTGAAAATAGAATAAAAGATAACCATTGCCGTCAATGCTACAAACATAAGTAATATAAGAGAATACCGCTGGTGGAATAGCTAGTAGTTAATGTGGAATGAACGCACTTTCCGACAATCCTTAAGGGAAGAGACAACTATCCTTGTGGCTTCGCAGACCGCCGGTGAGCTAGTGCATGCCTTTTAATGCATGGATCACGAACTAGGACTTACGCAGGTTTGGGCGGCATGAATTCAACCTCTCTCTCTCTCTCTCTCTCTCTCTCTCTCTATATATATATATATATATATATATATATATAGTAAGAAAATTCGTACTTCGGTCGACACGCACTGCAGTTTTCCTAACGCCAGAAAAACCACTCCGACTAACCGGATCAAGTCAAAGAATCCGGCACTTCAGAGCACATGCTTAGGGCATAACTTTCTTGTTACTTTTCTAGCAATGAATTATTAAAGTCTTATTGAATACTCCAATTTGTATGGGTTCTTCACAACCATCAGGCAAACACAAAGATAAACCGAAGAGCCCCGCCCTGCTAAGCTCTCTTTCTAACCCGCCTGCCATGAATGCCTTAATTAATCAATGCGTTCGACACCATATAGTCAGCTAACATCTAGATATCCAGCCACTCTTAGCTCTGCAGGCAAGCCGACTATCTTTGCTACGATACCACTCACCACAAGCCTGAGAGCGAGGGCTGCAAGTAGTGACATAAACGATGTTCAAACGTCTGACTCCTATCTGTATTAAACTCATTTATTAAGCTTATCAGCGGCCACAAGACTCCCAACCCCAATGAATCAGCATGCCTTACAGTCCTTTCAACAGATAATCAACGGAAGATGATCAACTAAGCCTAAACATGTATGAAACCGGAAACGTGTATCCCGACTGTGCTCGCGCATGTTACTCCACTACATCGGATAGTGTCATTTGTCACACCATATACAAACAGTCAGTAAATCTACTGACAGAACATGGATATACTAGGTTACTTTTCTTAAATGCTTGATCTCTCGACAAGAAAATGCAGCACCTACGTTCTCTACTGTTTCTCTCCTGTCACGATATTGTACTTGTCGCTGAGGGGAACATACTTCTGATACTCACGTTTACCTTCTGAACTTCTGAACCCTTAGCAGTAGCGCATATCCGGCCGTGGAGGCGGTTGCCGAATATATGTGGACAATAAACTTCATACAACTTCTGTGTGTGACCCAATACTAAATGGCTTTAATGACACTGCTTGGGTTAACATCCAAATAAGGTATAAGACCATCCTTATTGGTTGAGTGTACAACACAGCACACTGTCGAGAAGCAGATAGCGATGATTTTGCGGAAGTCTTCTCATATGCTTCTGAGCAACCGGCAAGTCAGAAAATTATAGATGAAAAGTTTAACATGTCTGAGAGCTTGCATTGTCCACCATGATTCCCACTCAAATATCTGCATTATGTTTTAAAAATTCATGCATTTGACTGGATTCAAAAATTTTCATCTCCAACCTGGGGTGAACACTTGCTAGACCGTATCTTCAAAACAGACATAAGCCCTCCCCAATCTTCGTGGGACTGACAACATGATAGCAAAAATTTGCTTTGAAGGAATCGCCTACAAGCACGACGCATCCAACAAGACTATACGTTTCCGCGACTATAATAACTTTAATTGGAAAGATTTCGCAATCAAAGTGCGAGCTCTGAACTGGGATAACTAATTCCTCTCCCCAAACCTTAACATGCAACTGACATATTACAAAAAAGTAATCTCGTATCTGGATATTTTGTCCCCGATGAGTCATAGGAGTACTATTTTTAAGATGAGTTAGAACTCCATTCTATCGCATATAACAAGAAAGCCGAAGAAGCAACTAGATAGACTTAGAAAGACTAATAACTTCGGTCTGTCAATTACGTGAAATTGAATAATGTCATTCGTAGAAAGGATTGGGTACTAAAAACTTCTCAGAGATGAGACCAACACATTAGCATGCTGCAATAAACCGAAGGAAACGACTAGACTATTCTAGCTCAGGTGCAACCACAAGCAGAACTTAGCACATTACATTACACTGCCTGAAAACAGCCTTTCTGTAAAGCCGGCTCAGATGTGTGAAGTTTTCAATGACTACTGCTCAGTATTTTTTCCAGACCCGTGCATGTTACCAAAGGTATACATCCCTTCTAAAACGACTGATTCCATAAGTACTGTAGAACTTGAGAAATCGGACATAAGAATTCTGATCAGTTCAAGATCGAGCTTTTGTCCTAACCTAGATGGTATAACGTCCGCTGTATTCAAACTCGGAGGCCTTGATTTCCCCATACTGCTGCGATATATTTTTACGTTATCCATGAGGTGCGGAGTGGTTCCATGTGTGTGGAAATATGAGCTGGTTAATTCAAGACATAAAAGTAGTCCAAGTCAAATAATTATGAACGATGGACCCATCAGCCATACCTCAAATCTGTGTGGAACAGTAGAAAAGGCAATAAAAGCCAAATTGTCAAATTACTATCGAGATGGTAGTATCAGATCAGAGTGAGCAGATGGATTAACCGAGCGAGCAAAACAGCCAATGGGAAGCGGACGTGACGGATTGAATTAACGGACTCGGAGTGGACGATATTCGTGTGAGTGATTCACCACTTGTTTAACTGTAGCAAAGAAGGAATCTCGTCGACTCAGAAGGGTCGTTAGTTATGGACTTAAACCTGCAAATTATATCGAGGAGTTTGGCTTGATAACATGCTGTAATTTTCCATTAGCTGTCTTTACCGATAAACGCATGTCCCTGAAGGACTGAGTTCTGCAACATGGTGTCAGAGAAGACAAAGACGAACCAACCCGGCGGCGCGCAGATGTTGTTTGGATCAACACCGTCTATTCAGATATCTGCCCCACTGAATATGGATGAACGGAACTTGGGGAGTAATTGGCGTCTATGGAAGAGCAAGTGGGAGGATTTCCGCAACTTAGTACGTTTGGAGGAACAACCGATAGCGTATCGTTTGGCAATGTTTCGACGCGCAGCCATGGATTACCCGCGCCATGTTCTAGAGATATTGCACTACGACAAATGCGAAGATCATAATAATTTGGAGACGGTCATTGGAAAGTTCAGTGAATTTTGTGAAAGGCAAACCAACGAGACATACCAGCGCTATCTTTTTGCGCAACAGACACCCAAACGTAGCAGTCGACGCGTACATCACTGAAGTGAACATTGTGGCCCGATCCTGTAATTTCTGTAAATGTTTGGGCGACAGTTTCATATGCGATCGGATCGTTCTGAGAATCAATGATGAAAGTACGACAAAGCGGCTTTTGCGACAACGCAACTTATCGCTCCAGCAGTGCATTGATATCTGCAACATTGAGTCCTCAAACAACCATCAATAGTAAAAAATGAAGCACGTAACAGATGCAGAATTGTGTGCCGTTTCAGGGGGCGAAGCAGCGTAGGTTATTGCCGTGAGACAGGAGGTCTACAAATTTTGCGCCACACGACATTCGAGCACTTGCGAACAGTGTCCGGCGTGGGGACGGAATTGCACCAGATGTGGAAGAAGAAACCACTTTGCTCGGTGCTGCAAATCAAGCAATGTGAGTGTAGTCGTTCGTGACAAGTCCCCCGCAGATGCAGAAGATTCAATTGGCAACGTGTCTCGGAGGGTACCGCAAAAATGTGTCGGCGCAGATCTTTTGATCGAAGGCAAAGCCGTACGATTCCAGTTAGACACATGTGCTACTGTCAACATTCGATCAAGGGAGCACTGTCCCGGAGTGTGCATTCGATCCGATCAAGATTGCCTGCGTATGTCGAATGGTTCCAAACTACATCCGAAGGGCTCAGGTACAATCGAAGTGGTTAACCCAATAAATGGAACCTCACATCGATTGGAGTTTATGATCGTGGGGGAAAAGCTCACGCCGATTCTCGGCACTGATTCGATCCAGTATCTCGGTTTGGTTGTTTTTAATCATGATCGTTTTTTGCATGTTTCCCAAGGTGAGACTGATATTGGTGACCAGTATCCGTCTGTGTTTAGCCCAGGTTTGGGAAAGTTCGAGGGAACCGCTCACTTGTCCTTAGATCCTTTGAGACGACCGACAGTGTAACCAGCTAGGAGAGTTCCATTTGCACTGTGTGACAAGTTCTCCGCTGAATTGAGCAAATTAGTGAGAGAGGGTGTGATTGCCAAAGTCGACGAGCCAACCAACTGGGTTAGTCAGGTCGAAATCATTACGAAGAAGGTGAGCGAACTGCGTGTGTGTATTGAACCAAAACCGTTGAATGAAGCTTCTCGTAGAGAGCATTACGCGCCACCTACCCTAGAAGACATTTTGCCGTGTTTGGCCAAAGCTGTGTTTCACGAAAGTAGACATCCCTTCGGCATTCTGGCACGTGGTTCTAAATGTTGAATCCAGTTTTCTTACTACCTTTGCAACACCGGGTGTTATCGTTGACTGTGTTTACCGTTTGACTTGAAGGAGTCGAGCGTAATTTTTCAAGTGCGATTGGTGCAAGCGCTAGACGATTTAGATGGTGTAACGTGTGGCAGATCATGTTTTGATCTATGGCTTGACAGAAGAAGAGCATGACGCTAATCTCCACTGTTTCTTACAGCGTTGTGTGCAAAAGAACATCAAACTTAAACATTACCAAATTGAGCTTCAGAAAGACGAGATGATTTTCCCCAGGCATTTGCTAACAACTCAAGGGGTTAGGGTCGATGCAGAAAAAATTAAGGCAATTCGAGAGATGTCGCCTCCTAATGACGTGAAGGGAATCCATCG